TAAAATATATTTTATACACATGTATTTTTACAAATACCTAAAAAGAATAGTTTAACATTTTTTGGAAATAAATTCTTATAGCCAGTTAGAAAAATTACGTGAACTATACCTGTTATCGCTCAGATTTAACACTCTCAGCTTCTGCATCTGACCAATTTCATCAGGAAGAAATTCTAGTTTGTTAGAGCGCAGAGACATCACTGTTACGTTTTTACAACTTCCAATCTACAGGAATGAAAAAAACAAAGATGTTAGGATACCTACTTTGATAAAATTTACTACCACTAACTTTTTATGTCATGAGGTGGCCAAATTGTGTTTTTACTATAACTGAAAAAAAGCAGAAAATACAGAATCTAAAGTCAGAAAATAATGCCATCCCTTTGTCAGTAACATCAGGGAAATACCTAGGGTTACTTGCACTACTCTTGAGTGATACTCTCACCATTACATGAATTTACTAATTTACTGGGTTTACTATTTTACCATTGAGTATGTAAGAAAGTCTTCCACATTGTGCAGAAACAATTGGTTTAACAGATATTTTGTATGAGTAGGGATGAAATCTTCGGCCTACCACAAAACATTTCAATCTGTAATTTAAAAACAGAATCAGCTTCTCACTTCTCTGGGCAGTTCAGGAAGGAAATTCTCATCCACAGCCAACGTCCTCAGGTTATGAAGGTAGCCAATGGTAGAAGGTAAGGACTCCAACTCATTACAGCTGCAGTCAAATTCTTCTAACAAAGATAAACTGAAATTGTAAATACACTTGTTAGATGCTATACAAGGACTAGAAAACAAAACCTAAATCTAAAACCTTTGAAAGTTTTAAAGCATCACACTGCTACAGACATCATGCTCTGAAGAGGGAACCGTTACTGCAGATTTCCCTAGGAGAAGTCTATAATAATATAATTTTAGGAATGATTAGGAGGGACACTGTTAATCAATCTTATCCAGTAAGGCAGTTCAAGAAAGACCACTTAGTTTCCCAACATTATCATTCTTACTTTTTGTCATGAGGAAGTATTCCAAGTACTTCAAACAGACAGTGATCAGGGCAATTCATACTAAGCTGAAGAATCAAACCAAAACATTTATAAACTTAACAAACAAAGACAGACAACAGGTAAAGAAATACTGCTGGTGAGAGCAAAGGGAAGGGAAGCAGAAATTGCCTCCAGGGTACATTCCAACTGGTGCACTTGCCATCATTTCTAATACAGATCAGTAGTGAAAAAAGTTGAACTTGGATCCAAACTCAGCAAAGTAATCTCAGCCTGTTGTAGTCAGACACAGCTTTTGTAAAGGTGTTTATCTTTCACATGTTGAGAAAGCTGGCTAAGAAGTGATCTTGAAAGGGTATCTGTATGGCAGGGACCAAAACAAAGCAGACCAAAGTAAGTAATCTTCTGACACTCAAGTTCTCTCTTTAAAAAAATGAAATAATCTCCATTTCTGTCTTGTATCCCTTTTCCTAGATTGTTGTATTCTGTCAAACTGTGAAAAGAAAGAGGCCTGACCTTTTCTCCATGTAATTGTGTTTGCAGGAAGAGGATGAAAGAGACACAGCTGACAGAAACGCCCTGTTGAACTGAAGTCTGGGTTAGCCATAGCCCACAGTACCAGAGCGCAGTACGTATAAAGCACAGCTTCCTAGTGCATGGAATTGACATTCAGTATATTCCTGCATTTTATTGTCCATGATGAGGTTGTGAAATGAGTTGAAGGTTTTGTACTGAGTGCTAAACGAAAGGTCCCTATATTGTAAAAGCCACCACCTTCTCTGACAGCAGCTAGCACCTAAAGCAGAATGAAAGCCAAGGAAATGCCAAGAAAGCTGACCCAATGCAGAGCGCTGACAGTGAGCCCTTGAACCTCCCCACCCACCCCCGCTCCAGTAGGAAATGGCCTTCAGAGGCATTTTTCTGCTCTTCAGGACCCTGTCCTAGCCAGCCACGCAACCCTCAGGACTCTTGAGTGTTTGCTTTTCCCTGAAGACAGCAGGTGGTATCAGGCAACACTTAAACATCAGTCTTTCTTTGGTGATTAAGAATCAACAATTTGACCTTTGCTAATGCAATTACAATAACAGGAATATATATGTAATACATGTTATATAGATATATAAAAATATATACATATGACATATATATTATGCACATACACACACATATATGAAAATATTCTGAAGAAATATCTACTGAATCTCTTAAAAAATTAGGCTGGATATAAAAATTCTTGAAATGAATGCTGTACTGCACTGCTCGTTCAGCTCACAGAATAAAAGTTTTGTGACCCGTTATAAATGCCACCATTCCCTGCTTCTGTTGCCCTCTTTTTTGCTCCACATGTACTACCTATTTCTCTCAAGTGCTTTAATTAACAGTAAGGTTAAATGGCAAGCGATTATTTCTTCCTCAACGTTTGTCATCTGTCCACTAACAAGGGGCTAGGTGCCCAGAAGATTGTCTGGTTTTCTTCCAAATGTTTTGGTAGATCTGATAAAAAGTTTACCTCTGTTACAAACCTTGCTTCTTAGTATTTATGAGTCACAGCTGCAGGACTGGACCTTCACTGTATGTCTAACCTACCTTTATTCCAGTTTCTTAATTAAAAAAAGGTCTTTCAGTCTTCAAATTTTATGAAACATGAAACCAGAAATAGCTATTGCTAACATGGAATTCTCAGAACTTTCCTCTAACTGCTGTATTTCAGTACACTGAAAAGCCAAAGTGAGTCATACAGTGATTAGTGAGAGAGATGCATGGAATATATCCAAAAGCTCTGCCAGGTTTGGTTATAGCTTTTTTTAATACAAGCTTTGTATCCACCACAATTTATTTCAAACTAGATACAAAACAATTTCAGTAAAGGCAAAATTCAGTCATGTTTACCTACTTCATGTAGAATATGTGCTTGACAGAGCGAAGTCCAACTGGAAAGCTTGTTAAATTGCATGCACACATTCTTCCTTTTACTGATGATAACCCAACCAGAAAAGCTTGAAAACAGATAAGCTAATTGAGAACTACTATGTTTCCAATGGCAATCAGAAAATCTGATACTCTGAACTGTAACTGTGGAAGTTTCCCTGACAGTGAAGAATGACTTTATCAGACAATAGAATTTTATTTGAAAGGTATTGTCTGGCACAGACATTCTCAGCTTCTTTCCTTCCTGATTACATCAGCAGCAGACAAATGAAAATGGCCACAATAAAAACAACAAAGTCAGTGTGAAACTATATTTTATCTCTGTAACTACCACGGTTAAAAAAATATGCACTTCAGAAAGTGACTTTTCATTCATCATGGATTGTGCATGAAAGTAAGTTGATAATAACAGTTACAATTCCAACAATGCTAATTTACCTAAATTGTCATTAACCTTACTGTCTTCTCAGGCTAAATTCAGATCACTCTTAATAGGTTTAAAGAAAGGCAGACAAAATTCAGATATGCACCTGCTGTTCAGTTTGGCACCCACTGAAATGAGGCAGTTCACAGTACATGTCCTAAGGTAGATGAGGAACATTTTTAGACAGATGAGTAGAGAGAGATTCATGGAGAAAGAAGGCTGCCATGAATAAGAGTAGTTCCAACACATCTCAGACCCATTTCATACAGTTGCAGCCCTTTTCTCCCAACAGCCACAGCACCCAGATAACTGCCAAAGCAGCCTAAATCCTAAGAGTTAGCTGCACCCACTATTTGTCCAATATCAGGCAAAAGGAATTTTGCAGACCCAGGAATAAAAGTTCACACTTTCCTTTGCAGTATCTGGTACCGTCAGATATAGTATAGACTAGACACACGCACAAAGCACTTACCTAACACAATACACTGGCTTTTGAGCCACTGCACCATTACCTATGTATGGGTCACGACTTCACTCATGACACCTTCCTACCCACAAAGTGGGAGCATAGGCATTCACTCAGGTCCGACAGATAAAATCTCCCGTCTTTGGGTCCAATTTGGTACTTAATCAACGTGAATCCACTGATTTTATGAGGAATGTTTTACTAAGCTGGGTCTACTGTGCACAGTATCTTGCAGGGTCAAACTCTAAATGCCACTTAGAGGCTTGCCCTTTGAACAAGACTGCCAAAAATGTGGGTCGTGGTTCACTATTAGCAATATCGACTCACACAGCATTGAAGTGCTCTGTGTCTCATCATGAAATTGGTCCCTGGAGAGAGAGTTCCCTCCTCCACGTGTCTAATCTTTGTGTGACAGTAATATACTCTGCAGTGGGTACTATGACTATCATTTAGGAGCGAGAGACCCAGTAGGAAACCATCCAAGTGGATGACTCAGAGAAAGGAAGTTCATTCTGATGTGGGAGACACTGTCCTCATTAAATGAGAGAAAGTACTTCATTTAAAAAGCACAGCCAATCACTCAAAAATAATGTGATAATATTAGGTGATTAGCCTACTCCTCTGCACTGTTTAGAGCAGCAGTATGCATCTTTAAAAATGTAATTAAGGCTCCATGACAAACAATACTGAACAGATAATAGGTTAAAAAAAAAGAGGGGTTCCCCTTCAATTTGAACAATTCCATAAATAAGAAAGCACCTTCATGACAGATTTTAAAAATTGACCCCCCAAATTGTTAAAGATAACATTGAACATTTTATTGACCTTTTTGCAGAGTGTCCAGTACAGCTTTGAGCCTTATGAGCTTTCACTGCCTATCAGAATTTATTGTTACACAATGTGTATAGGATTTCCCATTTTGGGATTCGTATAACCAACTTTTAATACTCTCCATGAATATCACATAAATCTAAAGATACTGCAAGAAGTACAGCATGGTAAGCCAAACCTGAGCTTTCAGTTGCTACAGTTGCAATAGTTCACAAATTTGGATTTTTTTTTTTCCTGCCTGTCATACCAACAACTAAATTATTATTGAAATTATTGCTGTATATTATATATATAAACACTATTTATTTACTATATTTTATATATATGCACTATTATTGTGTGCAGGTGTAGTAAAGCGTTGGCTGTTCAGGTTAGAGATTACTTCTATTCTAGAGACCTCACTGTATTATCATATTTGTGGACAAGTCTAAATGAAGTCTTCTAGGCTTTAATTTTGGAAGCCTCAGAACAGCTCTGGCTTAAGAAAACTAATTCCAATGAAATAGCTTGTTGAGCTACAACCTGCTGAAGAGAGAACGTTTTTTGCATTGACAGCAAAGGCACTGAGTCTGAGCGCAGCTCTGCTCACAGAAGCCCCATTCCCAACGTTTCATGCTGACAGCAGAGAATTGGTGTAAGTTGTATAACCACGTGTTCAGTCACACCAGAGAAACAATCATTACTTAGGCTGAACTCTGTTTCTTCTGCATGAATACTACTGCTGGTACAAGGAGTATGATGAAAACAGTACAGCTATAGCTGTAGAAGGCAGCCAGGGACCATGTATTCTGATTTTTTTTCCAACTATCAGGTTATGTAGCATTTCAGAATTAAAATATGTAGAGGAAGAGGCATCCTACAAAAATATCAATGCTAAAGATATGTTCTGCTGGAAAGGGATATGTGTAGTGTGAACCAACATAAAGAATCACCTATTTTCATACTTGTAGACAGGCTTGCATCTGCCCTGAATTTTACAATAAATTGCATATTTCATTTAGCAATAAGCTCAAGACACACAGCAGTACAAGACAGAATTTTGCACCAGCGATCATATAATATGTGACAAAATGATAGCTAAAGGGCATCATTAGTGCTTTTCATAATGAGTACTCATACGATACTTTCGCATTTTGACGTATGCACCTATGAAATTGTCATGACTTTTTCATTTATGATAGTTCAATATTTTAAGAAATTTTCATACATATGAGGTTTACAGCCATTTTCTTTTCAGCATCAAGTACTGGCTGTTGCTATGGAAACAGACGTATTTCCCCCAAATACTTCTATTTCTTCTACTTTTGCTGCTCTAATCATCTAAATTGCAAGTGATTCATACAGAAGAATATCTTTGCTCTTCTTCTTGGAAAATGTGATACATTTCATCTTCTTATCACTTACGCCAGTATAAGTCCATAGAAGTAATAGTGTTGCTCCACATTTAAATGCTATAAGCTGGGTGTTAGGCACACAATTTGAAATTATTTTACAATTCAGTACATCTTTGTCTTATTTTTATTTTAAAAAATGCACACTTCACAAGCAGAAGGGAAAATACATTTTACTTAATGTTGAAAATCATGAGAATTATACTCACTTTCCAATTGCATTTGGCAGAATTGTAAGCTGATTGTCATCTACTTTTAAAGTTGTAAGCCTTTTCAACAGTCCTACAAAACAGGTAAGGAAGTAAGTTATAGAAAAATATTTCTCCTTAGTCTTTTTTACTTTTTGTAATCTCCCATATCCTTAAACAATGATTTCTAACATAGAATAACTTCAATCTACATTTTAGAAAATATCTGTATATAGGACAGTACATAGACACATTCTTGTCCCACTGTAAATATGTTTCATCAAAATGAAGCACTGATCAAATGTTAAGCTGAACTACAAGTAAAATACTAAGTGTATTTCTGGAGTCTTGAAAAAAAGCTTAAAAAAAAAAAATAATAGTAGCCTATCCTAGCAGGAAAAGCAGTATTTCTACTTATTTACTAATGTTTCAATTGAATCCAAGTCCTGTTGCCTTGATTAAAAGGTGCTCAGGTCATAACAGGACATTAGGCAAATTATCTAAAGTAAATGCTCCATTTACAAAGCTTCACAATATGTAGGTATAGACAGAAAACCAGAATCAGACTGAAAACCAGAATCAATCCTGAATGCATTTGTATATGTGGTTAATTCTTATCATTAAAAGAATTATTATATACCTAAGTGTAAGCAGATGCATAACTGGGTAACGTTTACCAAGAAGGGAATGAAACTTCTGCTTTACCAGTGCATAACAGCAGGAAACAATAAAAAAGTAAAGAGAGAAAAATGGGAAAAATATTGCATTACAGTGCTAGAAACAGAGCTTGAAACAGATTTCCACCTTCTGGAAGTTATTAACATTTCAAAATCTGTTTTTTCCCTTGAAAGAATTCTGGATATACTGAAACAGCATTTTTAAAATGATTACTTGTAATTAATGTTTGGAATAATATAAATTAATCACTACTATAGAGAAAAAATGTTAAACTGTATGTGCCATAATATGAAAGCTGAAGAAAATTAAAAGTATTATTAAAAGGGATACTAGAAACACTACTAATTTCAATTGCAGAACATTTTTGTTGAAAACTTTTTAAAAATCAGCATGTTCCAAGAAACAACCAAGTTTCAACAAAATTTTCTTTTAAGAGGAAAAAGTTCCACCAAAATGAATTTCAGCAAGCTCTCATCTGAAAATGCAGTATTAAAATGACTCCTTTTGCTTTGCTTCTGTTACTCTATTACCATTCAGTAATAGGAATTTGGAAATGAGATCTGAATATATATAATTGCAAGAATGTATAATTCAAAATGTAAACATTTATTCCTTTTGTACAGGAGCTAAAGGCCCTCTAAAAATCAATCTGCATATGCATATCAGAAAACCACATAAAGCAAAAATTCCAGAATTTATGGTGAGATGTAGAAGACCAAAATGGAAAACAGCTGCAAAAGACATCTAGTAACATTCATGTAGCACAGTATTATTAATTAGCAATACATTTTGGAATCTTGACTAAGTTGATTTTAAATTGGGGAATTTAACAGTTCCATGTTTGAAGCGACACACTTAGGAAAGTGAAAAAGATGACGATTATATAGTGGGCTCATCAGCCGGAAACAGAAGAAAGACATCAAGTTTTTCCAAAGAAAATGTAAGGGATCAAGACTGAAATGAAATATCCAGATGTATAGAGTGATACACCTACAACCACTTAGCTTCCAGAATTTCTGTATATTCCAAATAATTCAGAAATTCTGTGCATGCAATATAGACAAAAAAGAAAATGAATAGTTTGAACTATTTCTTTGTTTAATGCTCTCATATAGAGTTGCACTACTGTAACTAAGAGTAGCATTTTCCTTCAAGAGTTTCACGCTATTATACTTACTTTCAAGTTTAGATCAGCTCAATTGTATCTTTCTTATTATCTTTTCTTATTTTCTTTAAAATAGCAAATCAGAATAATCAATACCTTCTAACCATGGATTTTTTTCCTGACTTTACAAAATGGTCTTCATGGACTGTCCAGACACAGATGTTTCAAACTCCTTTGGAATTTAATGTTCCAGCTATTATAAAGTCTCATCATTACCAAAAAAATAAATAAATGAAATCCTCAACTGTAAAAGATTACAAGAAATCCTAAGCTTTTCTCACCTATGGAGTCTGGCAGTTGCTGCAACATATTGGAGGACAACAGGAGATCTTCCAGTCCTTCACATCCCGATATGTCCAAATCAACAGTTTCTATCCTGTTTTTTGACACATCCAGGTACACGAGCTGTTTTAACTTCCCTATAGACTTAATAGCATGTTACAAAGTGTTACTTGAGCAGATATACACTGCATGCCAGTTTCTAAGTTTAATTAAAGGCAAACAATAGTAATGCAGGCTTATATTCAGTTATCTCAGCATCTTTTTACAAGATTTATTTCACTGAAGCAGTATCACTGCTGGTCTAACAGCCTTCCTGTTCATATACCTGCAAAAGGAACTGTACCAAACTAAATGTCACATACCAAACTAATTAATGTGTTCCAGATTCATTAAATCTGCTGAAAGTTTGAGTTCTCAGTCATGCAGCCATATTATTTCTTCATTTGGACACAGATCCAAGGGACATTTAGTCACAGTTCACATCTACTCACAATGGCAGTCCTTAAGGTCACTGAGGCTAGACATGCAGGTAAAGCTTTCCTGCGTCAAACTGATTATCTGAATTTTATAAAATCTAAAGTTAGACTTTAGATATTCATAGTTCAATTATGAACGGTTAACCCCAATAGTACACTTTTGTGAATACAGTGTTTAACTGCAGCTATAACATCAATGAGCAACATGACAAAAATTCTTCCCTAATTTCTTTGAAAATCTGTGTAGCATGTAAAAGTTTGAAGCCTGTAGAAGCAACCTGCTTCTTGATCCATTATCACAAGATGGTCACTTCATTCTAGATGTGAAATTTCACTAAGAAAATCAACAAAAAACATGTTGCTAGTTTCCTTAAACTAAAACCTACAAGTGGAACAGCAAAGAAGTATCACTGTTGGGTCTAGGGTAAACGAGCTGGATCTATGACCCAGTGGCAGAGCTATGACACAGACTGGAGGATTACACAGTAGGAGTGAGACAAGGCAGGACAATACTGTTATGGAGAGCTACCATGTGGTTGCAATACTGTGCATCCACAGAAATGGTTTCAAACCAGATGAATAAACGTTCATGGCCTATGCAGGAACTTCCTTTATGGATTTTGGGAAAGCCATGGGAATTGCTCGTGAAGTGTATGGATTCTATAAAAGTTGATGGGAGTGGGTTTTTTTAATTATTTACATATACTTTTAGTGGTTATTTACTGTACACATGAAAAAGGAAAACAGTTTCAGACATCTTTATCTACAGGTACTTTCAAAACAATGTGAATATAGCTTGCTTTTCATCTCTTACCTTGCTGAGATCTGCTCTCTGCTTCTAAGGAGGCAGTTTCATGTTATCTTTAATCATATCTGAGTTGTTGTATAAAGGGAAAATCTCCCTTTCACCCCAACCTTTGCCATTCTACTCATATTAATAGTTGAATACAATCTTTGTTTCTAGCACAGACTACTTTCTTAAAAACTGAATTATCAACATTGGAAACCTGGCAAATCTCTAAATTTTAAAATCAATTACGAGTTGGTATTTCCTTTCTATTTTTAAAAGTCAAATGTTAAAGCTAATATTAACTTTTTTAAATCCCTTGTTTTGGAGAAGGGTTTCATAAAACATCATCCTCGGTCTACTAGGATCAGATTCAGGAAACATGAATTATTCACTGAAAATAATTACACTCCTTGGGATTCAGTTCCATGATCTACTGAACATCTTCAACTCTAAATACCCTCTCCAGGGATTATGATAGCTCAGCAGGACTGTGTTTGGAACTCATTTTAGCACTGGTTATATTAACCAATTTCATTGTGAACAGAAAAGAAACAGAATAATGGTTAAAATGTTTGTGCCCGCACTCTCTTGTATATCAGATATTTCTTCTACTCAGTTCCACTGCAACAACAATACCGCAATATTTCTGTTCTTGATCTCCAGCTCGTTTCAGTATCAAGAAGTGGTTTCAATATCAGCTTTTCTTTTCACTAACAGAGCACTCAAAAAGTGGATATTTGGACAGTGACTGAAAATTATAATTTTCTCTGCAAACATCCTGCTTAACACAAAATAAAAAATGAATGTAATCTATTTAAGACAAAAACCAGTCATTGCTCAATGCAAAAAAGTTTAATTTTGATTAATAAATGTTCAAAGCTGAAGGAGGAAGTACTTCTTCCAACACCTAGACATGTTTGTGCTAGATCTAGTTCTACATTTTCCCTGCAGCAATGAAGAGCATTATTGTGTGAAACATATGATAAGTTACCTGTGTGATAAAATGCTAATGACAGAGATCTCTTTCTCCAGTCATAATCAGTATAGGTATTTTAGAGGGATAATCTCATATAATTTATGGCAATAAAAATTGAAAATCAAAGTTCTACTGTGGGGTAGCAACAACTCAGAAACAGCACTCCTATATAACCATGACCCTAATGTTTAGATTGCAAAATATTATTTGTTCCATTTCTAAATGGTGTGCTTTCTAGAGAAATATATCTTCATTCCACTGCCTCAGAATTGCTTAGTATAGTTGAATCTGTACATACCATCTGTTATTTTTAAGTTTATTTAGATTACTTAATATTTCCTCTTCCTTTTTAAAACTCATGTGGGTTTTTGTAAAACTGCTAGTTAATGCATGTTGACCAAGAAGACAATAGGAAACAATTTCCCCTCAAAATGAAACTACACAAGGCTTAAGTAAAACAGGCACATCCCCATTTAGACACTATGATGTAATAACACAACATTTAAAAGATCTTTGTACAAATGGCTATGCTGAGACTTTTGTTTCTTGATAATAATTAATGACTATATAAACTAGGAACATGTACCCATTCAAGCAAATGCACATGCGTTTATTTACTGCAAGGTCAATAGTTCACTATATCACCCAATAATTTAATTACATAAAATAAATGTTCATACCCCAGGTAGTATTTGCAAAGAATTATTGTCCATCCACAACTCCTTTAGATTCTGTATTTGTTCAAGAACCTCAGGCTGAGGAAAAGAATATAGTATTATGGACAGTTAAGTTAATCAGTATTTTTTTTTAGTTAAACATAAATCAGTATTTTCTTTAGAAAAAGATTCCCTCTTCACCTTCCTTTTTCTCTTTTAATAACCTACATCAGACTTTCACATAGTTAATGACATGAGCAGTATGCTCATTTCATTTAATTTAACCACTGTTGCTCTTTTTCAAAACTTGTAAAATTTAAGAACCCTTTGGAAAAGACATGAATAGAAAGAAGAACTTCTTAGAAGTTCTTGTTCTAAACAGTCTATTGGCAGTATGTAATTTATGCACAGGGCAAGTAAGAGAAGTGAGAATTGTGGAGCTTCAGAAACAATGCACTGGAAAGAAAGACCAAATCTCATCTTGCAGCACATGTGAAACTCTGCCTTTTGCATGATTTATAGTCTTAAAAATAGCTTAACAGAGTCATACTGCTGAACACTTTCCTGGATATACTGCGTTTATGTACAATTTCATGTCTGCAACTGTCATATTCAGTAGTTAAAACAGTGGTATGCAATGATAAAGCCTTAAAATTACAGTATTAAAATTTAATCTAAGATGTTCTATTCTTTTCAACACTATAGGATATTAGTGAGAGAAACTGAAAAAGGCAGTTCCCCAGATCATTTTTCATTCATTACAGCCATGAAAATCAAGAATTATCAGGTCAGAAATACTTCCACGTTTCAGCCTAAGCAGTATTTTTCTTTTTCATGAAACACTATTTTCACAGGTAAGAAAAGACATTCAATTTGCCTTAGCTCTGTAAAGTTGTAGAGATTTTTTTCAAAGTCTGCCAGAAACTGATATTAAATATTTCATTTAGTTCTGACTAAATCAGATTCTAACATTTTAGAAGTTTGTAGTACTATTTCACTGGAATTATTTCAACACAGTTAGAAACAAATGTATCTGCCTAGTATCACAGGACCTTAAGAGAGATCACTGATTATCTGGGAGACAGTGGTCTAAGTTCTTTGGAATGTTGTAATTCCTATGAGAAAGATGATTTTCCAGTTGACCAGGTCACATGGTACATTATGGGAGAAGCTCGCGATGCATCATCAGATAAGAAAGAACCTGCTAATCTGGAGAGTTCAATCCCTCAGTTTTCCATGTTGTCACATAATGTGTTTCTATTAAAAAATGATTAGTCAATATTTTAAAGATAATTTATTCTGCCTTGGCTAATTCTACCGAAATTTTGTTGTCCTTCAATGGTTAAAACCACTTCTAATTTCCAGGCTAAATTGATTAATGGTCATTTTATACTATTTGTTCCTGTGATGATTAATGTTTCTTTATTCCTCCAGAGTGTTCACTGACTAATGTTATTATAGATAATAATAATAATTTCCCCTTTCAACTTTAATTTTCTTTTAAATTCCTCTCATTAGATAGACACCCTTCTCAAAGGCAACAGACTACTCCTATGTTGTACATATTACAGTTTGTTTATTACAGATTTGAAATTTCTTGAGCATGAATTATGGTATACCATTATTATGGTATACCATGGATTATGGTATAGCTTTACGGTATACCATAATCCAGATGAGATCTCACTAATGTTTTGATAAGTGGTATTAAAAACTTATTTGACTCTGTTAGAAATGCTTCTGCTGATGCATTTTTTTGAGAATATTTTAATTTTCCATGTAGATTGCCACAATTAAGAGAAGGGAAGGGAAGGGAAGGGAAGGGAAGGGAAGGGAAGGGAGTATTTCAGTTGGAAGGGATGTACAACCATCATCCAGTCCAACTGCCTGACCAATTCAGGGTTGACCAAAAGTTAAAGCATGTTGTTAAGGGCATTGCCCAAATGCCTCTTAAACACTGACAGGCTTGGGCCACCTCCCTCCGAAGCCTGTTCCAGTGTTTGACCACCCTCTCAGTAAAGAAATGATTCCTAGTATCAAGTCTGAACTGAAGACTGACATTAATCTTCGGTAAAAGCATATTGGATTTTATCTTCTTTCCTTTTCCTTTTCCTTGTCTCCCTACCTTTAACTATTTTCTATCAAAATTTCTTCTAAAGCCTTGCTGCTGACAGCAGACTCTTGAAACTCTGGAAAGAACTACACCAGCCTTCCCCCTCCTTTCAGGCAGAGGTGCTACAATTGCTGTTTATCATTTGTCCAGTGCCATTTTTTGACACTTCAAAGACCGGGAGATTTCAGACCCTTGACCCATACCCTGTCATTTAATGCTCAAATTTTCTCAGAGACCTGTGACACAGATTACCTATTCCCTTTCTTGGTGACACTAAGTCACTTGAATATGGCTACTTAGGAAGTGACAATTTCTATCTTAGGAACACATACCGATCTCATGATTTGTATAATCTTGTTTCCAGAAAATGAATGAAGATAATTACTTCATTTTTGCAACTACCTTTATTCTTAACCCCGTGCCTATTGCTCCAGTTTGTCTGTATGAAGAGCACAGAGTCTTCCAGTGCAAAGGGAGGGACTTCAATAGTCCAGGGATGGACTGTCAAAGAAATCAAGCTCTTCCACACCACCACAGTTCTAGGCAGTATTTTTTGTTTAAAGTGAAATTATCTTAATTTTAATTTTAATTAAAGCTACAGGAAATATCACCCTCAAAATTGTAAGCCATGATTCAGCAGCACTCTTTTTACATACTGTTCTTCTATGACTCTGGAGGAAAGGCGGTTCCGCTTACAGGGTTTAATAGTCACTGGACAGGCTGTTGGTGGATAAGGCACATGCAGACATTTATTTTGCCATCAGTGCAACATTGAGTGCCACAGTATTAATTTGTTGTCCTACAAAAGCACAGGCCCTCCTGAATAGCCCTAGCAGTGATAGGTCTCAAAAAGGATGAGGCAGCAGTTTTTCTAAGTTTTGCTTCTCTTAACATATTTACAGTTTCTGCAGGATGAAGTCAGTAAGCTCTCCTTAAAAATAGGCCCATTTAAAAGCACAGTTTAAACACCCTCATACTGTTTCTAAGAAGTGTCAATCCCTATAGATGCAGTAGAAACACATCTAAAGGGAACAGCCACTTGATTATTTTCTATACTGAGACTAGAGAAATTTCCCGAAAGCTATTAAATCTCAGGGAACCTAATTCTCATCTTAGGGACAGAAACTGCTTTTGGAGTAAAAAATTTACCTCTTCTAATAGCAATTTCTGATTTTTGCAGACTATAATGATAAATATTAAGAAATTAATACATAATTGACACAAGTATTTATACTGAGATCACCAATTCATTGAAGTACTGCAGCAGTAGCAACCAGCTCATAGTGAGAATCATCTGTGACCTTCATCTGAACCACCTGATGTAGATGAAGCATGTTGTTTTATCAACATTCACCTCAGCAACTATGATACATCTTCTATTCTACAAGGAAATGCGACCATAGCATGTGGCCACAATACAATAATGCCTTTTAAGTAAAAGTTTAATGCCCCATAAAGAGAGCATCCAAAACACACAGTCTTTTTATTAAAAAATGGTGCATTTCTTACCAGTTCAGAGAATTCATTATTGCCCAGATCAAGTCTCTCCAGTTGAGTCAGTTTGTGCATTGACCTGTAACAGATTAGGAGATAACTAAGATGAAATTTTTACTTGCAAAATGTCGGCCAAATTTTGTTTAGAAAAAAATAAAGCTCAAATGATACTGTTATTGCAAAAAGAATTACATCAGTCTGAAGCTGATGCAAATGAGAACAATATACTCCACCTTTAAGACATGAGCTAAAGTTCTTGAACTAAAAAGCTAGCAACAATTACTTTAGCAATCTTGGTATAATTTTGCACAGTTGCTCAAGGAAAATGACCTATATTATATTTATAAGCATTTGAAAGTAATATAAAGTGTGACATTTTTGATACAGATTTATAAATTTGTTATCAGCTTCTTTATAAACCACCAGAAAGTGTTTTGGCTCTTTACAGCAAAAGTACGAAGTATGGTTGTCACCTCCCTAAAATTGTACCTCACTACAGTCACGATGCAAAAGCACTTTTGTGTCAAGGATCAGCACAAAGCTTGCATGCTAAACAAGTTAAGCTTAGATGAGGCTTGTTTTGAGTACTTGTGTTGGTTTAACAGAATACACTGAGCCGATGGGGTCCCCTTCTCTTTGGGTTATAGTACAGGTGACCTGAAACACGGATTCCATTTCAGGAATAAGCAAATAGTCACACCGATAAGCAGTGGTATTTAGTGACACTTGCTGTCTGCCAGTAGCTTATGAAAACTCTATCACTGTAAGCAAATCAACAACAGAAAATAGATTTTTAATTAAATGACCAATCTGAGATGCAATCCTTTGATCTGTTGCAAAGCACATCTAGGCAAGTATTCCTCTCTCTGTGCAGTTCATGCACAGGAGCATGGCAGGGAAATGGTGCAATCCATGACACCGCATGTGGTGGATGGATAGGAGCAAGGTGTCGTACTTCGCTGCTGGCTGTCTCCCTGAGAGCCCCTTTTTGGGCAGCCGCTCCTCTGAGGGCAAGAAAGGCTTCACACAGCCTCTGTTGCAAAAGACCGTGTGCAAATGACAGCAAAACCAACCAAAGCAGGTTATCCTTCTTCACAGTATTATAAAAGAAAGAGTCAAATAAAGCATATAATAAGAAAGTGAAACAAAAGTTAATATCAACCATGCTTTATGCACGTAAAAGGCTTTAAATGAGGAATAATCTGGATTTATGTCTGTGACTGATCACGACATCACAGCAAAAAAGGCACTTTTACTGCTCGGGCTCAGGTGACTGAAACAGTTAAATAAGAGGAAGAGTGATAAATTGCTAAAAATTATGTGATTAAATTCTTCATTTACTGAAGTCAATGGGATAAATCTCCCAGGTTTATCTCTGAACTTGTGCTGTGAGAAAAACTGGTTATCTCAAGCATAGCTTAAACTGACAAAGGCACATATCACAGCATATGTGGACCAACCGTTAAAAACATTTCTAAATCTATCAATTTTGAATACAGGCAACTTTATAAGAATACACAGAGTAAGATTACACTTGCTTATCCACAATTTACCAGTTGCTGTTTTGGAAATCAAAGTATTTTTGCTTAAAACAAATCAGCTGGACCCCTTTGAAAACTAGCCACTCATTAGGCACTCAGGCAGTGCACACACTCTCAGCCTGAATGATAAAGTCGTGAAAAGCATTTAAATATTACCAAAGACCCTTTAACAAGTCTTGACGGCACGTTTCACTCCTTAGTACCACACAAAGGTTTTACACCACAGGAAACACATTGCAGCATGTGAACATTGCAAGTTTATAGTTATTTACGCTTGCAGATGTTACAAGTTTTTCAGTTATAATATTAACTGTACACACACAAGCAGTACATAGTACAATGCTTTCAAAATTAAAAAACCAGGAAACGTGACATACATTTTTAATAGATTGTACAAAGTTTTCTCTCACAGGCAGTATTACTTGTGACTTTATCAGATAATTCTGCATTAAAGTCAATAAAAGCTTCTAGTGATTATGATTCCCCATGCCCATGTTAAAGTGCTCAAAAAAACCCAGCCACAAGACTGAAAATACCTGCTAACAGGAACTGGAAACTGAATGGCAGTATTCCTTTGTTATTTACATATATAACCACTGTTTATACATATACAGAATTACATATTTTGAAATGTGAAACTCTGAAGCTCTTCAAAAATGAAATGAATGGTAATCTAAGTTACAATGCAGTTGGTAAAAACTTGTGTATTTCATACTGTATTCTACCTTCGAACCAAACTTTTACTTTAGAAGGTTTGGTTCGTACTACTGTAAATTCATCACAAAAGGCAACTTTTAAACATTACTTTGTGTAATTTCTGCAGTCAGATACATAGTTTCAGAAACTGCAACATTTATATCGGGGCAGATTAATTTCAGTTAGCTGGTACTATATCAAAAGATAAAACACACTGCCAAATGTACCCAATGTAATATTATATGAGATTTTTCATTAACTTATGATATTTTTATCTCTTTCATGTATTTACTTGTATTTTTCTTATGAAAAGATTCATTATATTTTTTTGTGGGGTCATTTTATAAAGGTGGAACAGGAAAGGTGCAATTATGAGTAATGCTCAGTTAAATATTCATTGCTTAAATGATGTAATGTAGTATCATTAATGTGCTAATAAAACTTGCAGCCAAAAGTTTCACATAAATCTTTATCCATATCGCATTTGGATCTATTCTTCCATTCATAAGTAACTGCAGGAGTATATGGAGAAGATCTGATTCTCAGCTACAGAAGTGGACCTCACGGTAGGTTCAGAATAAGGTGAATTTTTTAAAATTATTTTTAAACACAATAATTGAACACGACAAATGCACGAAAACCAGCATAGAGAGTAGCTTAGAGAGATTTCTGAATACTTGGTGAAAAATTAACGTTGCTCGCAATAGTTTTAAAACATTCATACTCCATAAATATAACTGACATTATACAATTCAGTGGTATTAATTATAATTCATGGTAATCACATATATTGCCTAATATAACTTTCTCATGTTCTTGCATGTTTGTTTTTGCTGCATTATTTAGAAGATACTTATCTACACATTGTAAACACCACAAATAACCAGGAAAATGCCTTTGCATTCTGGCAAAACAAAGGAATCAACTGCCATAAATTATTTTAATGGAATCATGGTATTCTCATCAAAATCCTGGTCAGCTTTCTGACAGGTAGGAGATGGTGATCACATGAAGGTTTATCCAGACCTTCAATCACAAACTTCTAGTCACATCTGAATTATTCCCACATATGAAGATCTGTATTCATATATAACAAAAGTATCTCTAATAGGTAAAAATTCATGAGTGAAAAGCAATTGTGTCAGAGACACAACTAGATTTACACAAGAGAGGCAATATAATTCTGCTACACAATTAATGCGTGCTTTTTGTTGGTCATACTTCTACAAAGATAGGACTGAGAAAATCTTAACAGTTATATACTCTATTTCCTTGTGCAACAACATACAGAATTATATTTTCATTTGAGTTTATGATAAATGGATACCATTATTTTCCAAAAAAATAAAAAGCAAATAAAGGCAAATATGTTGCCATTACTGGATTATCTGCTGTATTCATTTCAAATAATATTTTCTCACACTTTTGTTGTACACAGTAACCTTTATTTCAGAGTTGTTAAAATGTGACATTCAGGAGTGTCTTCCAGTTTCAGTATTTTAAACTTTGCAATGTAAGTTTAAATTCATTAATGAATCAGTTTGGAAGTTATATTGTAAAATTAATACTTAATGTTAATAGTTTACCTGTTGCAGAGTAGTTAAATTTTAACCAGGGCTAAAGCATTACATGATACAATCACAAAGAGCTACTTACTCATACATCACTTAATGGATTACAAAGAAAACTCAGTCTTAGTTTTCAGTGAATCTCAAGATAATTTATATTATTTCTAGAATATAAAACATGTATGGTGTAAAGCAAAGGACCAAAAGTATAAATTAATCTGTCATGAAGTATTGAATTTATGTATTACCCAGGCTTCAAAATAACAGAATATGTTTAAAAATTGATTTTGAGGATACAAAATAGTTACACATGGACTGAAATATATAACAGAGAATACATCTAAAATAATGTACATAATATCTATAATAATGTCCACTTCACCTTTGACTATCAAAAATAATATCCATTTCAATTTTTAATTATATTGAAGGATTTAAGGATTTTACAATCTGCAGTATCGATCCACAAATCAGAGAATATAGCAGAGACCATGGGATGATGTCTAAAGCGATTAAGTCTCTAAAGACTAGCAATTAAGTCTCTAAAGACTAAATAACTCCAGAAACTCTCCGTTGGTCATGGCAGTGTTCTTTGTTACTTTTATACGGTCTTGTTATTAACACAAAGAGAAGTTAGGAGCAGTCAATCCACAAGGCATACTGTTGCCTTGGCTGTATGGCTATCAGAAATTATACAATGTTACTTGGGCTAAGCATATGTGAAAACCAGACAACAATTTCATCTGGATTAAACATTCTGGACTAAGAGGCAGCCTCCATCAGCCTTTGTACACCAGAATTGTTTGGTTTCATAATATAGTTTGGGAGAACTACCTCAACACAGTCTACACGTGCTGACGCTCCTGATGCTGCCATTTCTGGTGCCCGAAAATCTGCTGACTCCACATCCTCTGTTGTTCGAGCCACTGTACACTCTCAGGCGATGGGCAAGGGCACTCTCCATCTTCAAATGCTAAGATGAGAAAAACCAATTTCAATGCCCAAAAGATGGAACTGCTGGTGCAGAAGGTGTCTAAACACAACCAATGCATCTACGGCACTGAAGACTTGTGAGACTTTACCTAATTCGGTATCAAGGGCCTAAAATAAGAAGCACCGCAAAGACAAAAGTCCTACATACAGAAACTGGAATCAAGCTCTTTCATGATTCAGTCATAATAAAAACACACGGACAACCGATTTCAGGAAAAAACATTTGCGTGCAAAAGGTAAGGATTTTAAAAACACACTACTCAATTAAAACATTGCCTTCC